ATTTGGAAAAAAATTAAGACAAATAGTCCTATGAGTTTTAATCACTAAGCTGCAAATAAATTTCCTTCTTAAGTATTTTAAGTCTGAAAAATAAAAAACGTGCAACTCTATAAAAGAAGAAAAACATATTTTATATCTTATTTATTTTTTGGATGTACTAATATTAAAAATGCTCCAAACTTCACTTGAATATCTAAATCAGAATCAAAAGTTAACAAAAATAAAATATGAATAAGTTTGTGGCACAATTCCAAATTTAATCAATGAAGGAAAATTTTTTTTGAATGTAGCATGCTCAAAGTTAAATTTACCTTTAAATATTTCCAAATGTAGTGCTTTTTTTATATTTAATCTTGATTAATTCCAAATTATTTTCATATTTTTTAAAACTTGATATAACGTAATACATTCTCAATCATTTAACAGTAAGGAAATTGTTTTTTTCCATAATTGTTCAATGATTGTATTAATATAATCCAATCTTAAATTAATAATCTATTAGTAAAATCTAAATTTTCTTGATTTTATCTCAATAAAATTTTTTAATCAATTCAAATAAATTTTAACAAATCATCATAATTTCAAGAGTTTAGAAAAATAACCAAAATTTGTGCTTGAATGAAATTCTGCCTTGGATATTTTGAGGTATGAAATGCATCGATTGATACACTCGTGCAGATTGGATGTTTTGAAAAATAAAAATTGTGGAAACAAAGCTTGCATTTCATAATTTATGTATATTGCAGTATTTCATTGATTTCTTTTAGTACAAAAAAATAACTGATTACACTACATAGAATGCTCACTTAGTGCAGTCAATAATGTAGAGTTGCATTTTTAGAAGCTTTAATTCAATCCATTATATATATTTAACTCTACATAAAAAAAATCAAATTTTATTTAGAATAATGTCATAATTGAATGAATTTTTTTGCATAGATATCAATGATAAATATCAAAATTTATATTAAAAATAAATTATATCAAAAACTTTTTTGATAATAAAAAACATCTTTTACTGATATATTTTTCAATAGCTGATAATGTTTTTTGTGATATGTTTTGAATTGATATAAATTGAAAGTTAGATCAGAAATTCTTAAGCAAATTTGTAAAATTACGTGTAGAAACCTTCGAGGCCATAAAACTTGGTACCATAGCGATACATCCCCAGAGACATTATCTCGCTCTCTCGTTTTTGACCTTTTGACCCGCAGATTTCGGGTTTTCTCTTTGCTTTGGCTTTGTACCTCATCGTGGGTCACATGTCACCAGAGGCAAACATTTTACTTCAAATCTGCACCCAGACCATAACCATCAGCAGCTACCTAAGCCCACCCATGCTATGCAAATTACGTCTTGGTTGGATCTTGACAAATACTGCCCTTAGCATTGCTTGTGCCCACCCATGGAAAATTATTGTCACCCAAAACCCATGAACCCATGGGTGGGTTTGGACATGGGTATGTGCACCCAATGTTGGGCTCTGCATGTCACTCTACATATTAACGTGATGGAGATGATTTCCCATCAGCACATTCAACAATGGCAAGGAGATTCGCTGACATCCAACATGACGATCATGCTCGTAGTTCATGAGGAATCTTATCCATGAAATATTAGACAGCTCGAGAATATTTACTCCAATTTGGGGATGAGGTAGATATTCTCTAGATTTGGTACCGAGTAATTTTGACCCAGTAGTTCTAGTGAGGCGGAGACGACCAAGACGTCGACTCTAGATTCTGCCTACTTCAAGAAGATTTCGTCTGTACAGCGTTAGCTTCGTTTGAGGGAGTAATGAGCAACAGCTTCTAAGGATCTCGTCGCGTTAGATCTCGCGAGATCGTCGAATGGAGCAGCAGCAGTTAGTTATTTCGAGCCTGCAATCATTCCGCATTTATCAATGACCAGACCTGAAGGCCTCTTCTCCGAGCCAGGCTACATTGACACAATCAGCATCATCATCAGACGAATCATTCCCGAGTCTGAAGTGTGCAGAGTGAGAAGAAGTACTCTTCATCTTCGAGCGGATGATTGATTGTTGAAGGTATGACTCAATCCTCTTACATGCATCCTGTTTCTCCTCGTTACGCAACGTTTGACATTGAAAATCCCTCAACTGTCGATATTTTCAGTCTCAAGGCGCCATGAGTTTCTGAAAACTTCACATTCGTTCAAAAAACTTACATTGGTGCGAGATCAAAGTGGACAAAAGATTGCATATATCATGCTTGAGATACTTATCCAGTTGCCTTCACATCTATAGCCTGCATTCCAAGTATCATCACATTGGGGACATTTCTTGGGAACATGTGAAAACGTTTGGCCTTCTAACTACTACCGTGGTCCTGGATCACTCATTTTCCTCTGAATTCAAAGTGAAAACCGTCTCCTGAAACACATGCTGGATCATCATGACGCTCGGTCTCAGGACAAATTATCAGAGCAACTTGTGTTCATGTTTCTATAGAAACTTCACGTGAGGAGGCAGATGAAAGTAAATGAAATGATATGAACCATACATGCCCTTGACTTACAAGGACGAAACATTTCACAACTTGGTTCAATTTCTTTAACTGATTCATATCATTCAGTATTACAACTTTTCTGACTGAACTGATGGAAAGTCAGATACTCTTCATTGGTTCTTGCTCGAGAAATCAGTGTGAGAATCCATTCAGCAGTCCATCCTGTAGAATGGGTGAAGTCTGATGTTTGACACAGCGATGGAGAGAAGAGATCAACTAACATGAATTGCCAGGAGAGTGTTGTTGTGGACTCTCAGGTTATCAATGTCCTTGGCAGTAATCCAGATGTACATGCAGAAACTTGCTATTCAATACTCTGTTGAGTTATACGTTTCTTCACACAATTCTCCATTCTCCAGGACTTCAATCAATATTCGTGCTTAGGTGCTTCACTCAAGTTTGTGCTTCCCCTTATGAAGGACGTTGGTCGCCACGAGAAATGCTACTTTTCCCTTTGCCTCACTTATCATACAAATGGGATAGCACGTTGACAAGGCATGACTTGCCTGCTGATAGATTTGATAACCTGAGGGTGCTAAGAGTTGTTTTCATAGGAGAATGCCACCGATTTGAATCAAGAGCAGCAACTATGTTGGCAAAAGTTTAGACATACTTGATTTCTCAAAATAATTGGTCATCTCGTATAAATTCTCCAGAGCTCAAATATCACTCTTTTGAACTGCTATCCACAAAGTTTCGGCTGCCGAGGAAGGCTATAATCCAAATGCGTCAGTGAGATCCAGTAAACGAATCGACTGCAGATACTTTCTAGCTGTGGTTCGGTTGCGAATCCGGTCGTGGTTCAGTCGACAATTACCATCTCTAGTATTTAGACACCATTTGAGGGTAAGTCAGGCCCTCACGACCAAAGATTTACCACAACGTTGCCGCCTCTCCGAAGCTACTAGGTTTGCAGTAAGGTCAGTGACGAGCAGTGGTAATACGGTTTTTGAGAAATTAAGAAGGACCAGTGTCGAATTTGTAGCAAAATAAAGGCAGTCGAAAGTCCACAGTGCTTATCAACTGATTGAGAATATGGAGAATCAACAACGGGATATTCGAATTTCAGGGAATTTGGGCAACAAGAAGACAACAACAAAATGTCAGTAAGGTGGGATTCAGATTGGAGCTAGGCTTAAACTTGTATATCCAGTCCATCCGAGCTTATCTGGACATGAAGGTCTGGTGCTATATGTCACTTGAGCATCACTAAGAGTACTGATTTGCGCAATAATCCTCTGCGCTGTGTCAGCAATAGTCTTTGAAGTGTTTACCAGCACTTTTTCAACGTAACTGCATAGTCAGCTACACAGCCATGTAACATCTTATCCATTACACTTTTGTGTGGATGCATCACTGAGTATAGAGGAATTTAACATATGAAATCTTCTTTGGATTCAGTAATACGATCCCCTGTACCTCGACCAAACTATTATATGTAAGAACTAGTCAATGAATCGGTAAAGAGAAAAAGCAAGAAATTAGATTCTTAGAGGAACTGTCATCTGAGTCCATACGCAGGTCTGGGATGTAGAACCAAAGTCTGCCGTTATTCTTCGCAGGTTCTTGTGGATTAGTAGCGTGAGCACAACTCATGTCGTATTCATGAAACCTTGTCATTTGGAATCATTCCTTTTTCGACTGCAGGAGCTCCATGGTGTCATTACTCTTCACTATCACTAGTCTTTCATTTGAGATGTAGTAAGAGAGTCTGAAGGTTAGAGTTGACATTTGGTCACATTCATAGTCATTATTGGCTCATCTAAAACCCTGTGTCCGCTCTCAGTTTTCATTCAGACTATCCAGCACTTGGAAACCACGACAAATTCATATGATAGCTCAAGTATCGTGTCTTGAAGGACACCGAATTCGGTTGTCGGTAAGGCAACACACAATGAGATAGTAAACACTCGGTCGGAACTTGCTCACTCGGAAGAAATCTCTTTTCATGAACTCTTGCAGTTCATTCAGTCACACAGGAAAGCGAAAAAAATCATTCCATGTCTGTAGACAATCTTCATCGTGTGACGCCAGATGTAGAAGCACATTTACATTTTCTCTTGCACGTCCCCTATCCTGACTGTAGTAGGCACATATCTTTGTATGTCAGGTCTTCAACATCAATCTGCAGTCGGGAACAGAGCTATTCTGATCAGGAATTGCTGTCTTGAAGAAACTGAAAGAAGAGTCCGTATTAAATTGTCCAGAGAGTCCCCCTATCAGATTGTCCAGGCTGGAACTTTAAAGGAGAATATCAGATTTTAGAAAAGGAGAAACAGAAATGTAAACTTTTTTAACTGGGCAGTTTTGAGTCTAATTAGCATCTTCGTGAAATGAATCAAGTTTCTTTCCTGAGTTTACGTAGTTGAAAGAAAGCTGGCTCACAATTTATATCAGAGCTCTCAATGTGACTCTTGACGTTCGGTTGATCACCATGAACTGGTAGATTGTAGCTTGTCATATGCCTGGTAATTTGATCTTATTTTTTATTGCAAGGTGATTGTTGGAGCTAGAGATTCGATTTGTGTCATTCACAATTCTTCATACGAATTGACGAGCATCGGCTGCCGTGACGGATTTATTCGCTTCTTGCATGTAAGCCATCTGACGTCCATGTCAGAAAAAGAGATTCGTATCTCGGTCCGAGATTATGAAACGTGGATCGTGCTTGAAATGTCTATGAGCGTTTCTAGCTCCAAGGCATTGACATGAGTCTCCAAGACTAAAGACTAATTTCAGTCTCAAATGTTCTGCAGGTCGAGTCTGTCGATACTCTCTCTCTCTCTCTCTCTCTCTCTCTGCCCGTAATTTCACATGTTCCAGCTTGTTACATAATTCTAGCACAAAACAAATTTGAACAATCAAGGTATGGTTTCATGAATCCATGAGAAGCGTCAAAGCTGCCCAGATAATCTGTTTCTAACAACCAGGATGGGCACCAGCTGTCGACTTGGAACTGCACAGTTCTGGATGCAGTTGGAAGACCGAACAATTACTCGTTTCCAAAGCTCCAAAAACAGAGAGGCGTCGATGAATCCCTCAAAATTTAATTCAATTCGAGGTGATTTCGAATCAAGGAGAGTTTTTGCAGGGGAAAGCAACTCGCCCTCCCTCCTTTAGCCAAAGCCTGAGGCAACAAAGACAGCGGTCAGCAGCTGTTCACAGAGGGCAATAGTCTACAGCGATTCTAGATCTGGATTTGACATCCCACGAGCATCAAACAGAATCTCTAGTGCACACCTCGTGATTGAGATCATGTCGTCAATTCCTGAGCCAAATGAGAGCCGACAATGTCCAAATCGAATGACAGACAAAAAGTGCATTCCCTCACTTGATAAGATGAGAAGAAATCTGACAGCTGGTGAAGGGTTGGGACTCTCGATCAACGTACATCATGTTGAGCCCGACACGACACTCGCAGCGCGTGCAATCGTGCCTGCAGTCCCCCTCTCAGGGGCAGCTGTCATCTACTGCTAAATAGAGCTCACTGTAGACACATTATACGTACGTGGAGTAGCCAGCGTCTGTTCGCTCTCCTTTCCTTCCTGCTGCTGTATCGTCTGCATTCTCCGCACGGCTCGTGCCATTTCGTCAACTCACAAGCTGCACACGAAACTGGCCAAAGGCCAAACAACTTGCCGGTGAACTGAAGGTACCTCTGGCATCCAAGTCCTGATCGATTTTGCCACAGATTCTGTTTGCTTCCCAGCCCAGCCCAGCCTCCCATCATGCACAGGTCCAAATTAAAGTCACATAAATTTAAAGATTGATTTTGTATGGGAAGAGCGTCCGCTCCCACTGTCATGATTGAAAGCTTCAAGTCATTATTCACGACGACTGCTCAGTCAGTCCGGTCAAGTCTCTGCTCTCTCTCACTCACTCACTCAATCTCCTGTCCTCCTTCCCGCTCCAGGACAGCACTGAACTCTGATTCTGTGTCCAAGGAAAGCACTCCAAAGAATCCATAGGCATGAAAAGATGACGGTCCGAGTCTCCCACTGCGCATTGCGAACATTGTGAGGAGTACTGTACGTGGTACATTACGGAGAGTTCGCATTTTGCACTGCGTTGCGTTTCATACGACGACGACGACAGCTCTTCCATCACAGGTGCCGTATCGACCACATCCATCGCATCGACCGTATCGACAGTATGTACGTCGTGATGGTCGTCAGATACTGTGATGATGCAAGTGCAGATATGATCGAGGGAGAGCAACTCAGTCTGTCAGATCGACCCCCGTCTCGTTGTCTCCGATGTTTGGCAGCAAGTCCGATAATAATGCCGGACAGACATGATAACAACTCCCCCCCATTTCCCCCCGAGCCAAGACTAGCGATGGAGATCCATGCAAGACCGTAATCCCCGAATCTGCATTTCGACCGTCGGATGGCCATCGGCCCGTCTGCCCCGAAGCTGAAGGTGCGTCGGAGTCTTGCCTCGGTCGTCGACTCGTTGCCTGTACATGAAGACCAGAGCAGGTCAACTTGGCCAAGGCACGCGGACCCAGAGCAGACCGAAGGATTGGAGAGGCTGCAAGAGTGAGCCCAGAGGGCCAAAAGGCCAGGCCGCTGGCGACCGCCGCACTCGGGACTCGGGACTCGCGGCGCGGAGCCGGATAGGAGAGAACCGCAAAAAGGCGGAGGACAGTCGGAGCGCTTGTCCTTTAGCTTCGAGCATGTGCAGCCGAACGTGGAAGGAAGGCCGTGAACTGGAGGCTCGACGTTTCCCGTCCTTTCTATGGCTAGCGACCGAAGCCTTCCCGCCGGTCTCGGGCGGGCATCACCGGTCACTTTCTAATCACGGCGAGGAGGGAGAGCAGTGCACTGACGGGACGCGTGAGTTGCCGACGTCTTGGGCGGACGGAGGGCGGCTCCTGAGTGGCGCCCTGGGTTCTCAGTTCGTTCGTGCATCGTTCCGCTCGGCGCCTCTCGGGCAGCAGTGACGGGCCACTTGGCGCCGTCCGATTGCTCTGCTAATCGTGTTCTCTGAACCCGCTTCCCACTAATTTGGAGCGGAGTCAGGGTGAAGTGATGGCCGAACTCCCAGCCGCGCAAGTCCGTCAGGTGCAGAACTGGGTAATGAATGTCCGAGGGTGTCAGGTGATTTGCTGCGAGGTGGCCACTGACCATGGTGCTCATTGGACGCAGTTCGAGACTGGACTCGTCAAGGAACTAGGGTAGGATAAAGTCGCTACCCTATCCACGTAGAGTCTGAGGGTGAGCAAAGCATGGGCAAACTTTCCATCTGCAAGTTGGACATCCTTCACAGATCCGACATAGATCCTCGAGGGGTTGAGTGTATTATTTATATTGTAGTCCACCACAGTAGTGAACCATGGTTGAATCTGAGCTTAAACGATAAAATAACATCTTCTCATCTGAGGAAAAGGTTTCAATATGAGTTGAATTTTATCCTGGTGAAAAATTCAATGATTATGTGAAAATTACATATGCAATACAATGCTACAGAAAAACCTCTTCATAATCACAGTTTGTCCGGAGCCAGTTCTGTCCGCACTTTTCTGTACTTCTATCTTGTTATAATGAGGAAAAAAATCGATGCTTTGAACTTAGAAACTGGAAAACTGTGAAGACAAACACTATAAATCTTCGGAATATTCTCCACCCCACCGATTATAAGCATTCGTACTAGATATTATAAAATTTCATAAGTATTGACGTAATAACCTGTAATTTTTTGAATGACACAGTGTTTATGTTTTAAGAAAAACATCGTAAATATAAATATTGAAAAATCTCTAGAAATAATTCCTTAGTTTTAATCAAAATATGACGATCTATGATTGTAAGAATATGAATACCTCATCAACTAATATTATAGATAGGAAAAGCAAAAACCATGCAAAGGATTCAAAGCCACCGTCAACATAAATTCACACTCAAAGCCAAAGTAAGCGCGGTTGAAGATATGGTTATTAGTTCTCTTACTCATGAAGTTTTTTGAGGAGATCGTCAGTCATCTTCGTGGTGAGTAAGTGTGGTGGCAATATTTCCAAGAAAAGCAATATGTAGAATGATCATTTATATGTTCCCCTAACATTGGAGTCATATATATGTATTTATTTATTTATTTATTTATATTTATATAAACACACACGAGGTTTTTGAGATGGAGTAGGTTTTAAATTCAAGCTAAAAGACGAAGGGGGTGATATTTTCATTTTTGAATCCAGCCTATCTTTGTACTTCCTCGGCTTTCAATCTAATTGAACTAGATTTAGCACAACCCCATGAGGTTTGAAATATTAGCTAACCCTGAATTAGAGACCTGGAATGTCTCACTCTTGTAACCATTTCTTCTCTAATAATCTTCAATATACAAGCATGATGATCAAAGTGATAAAAAAATTAAATAAATGTCTCATGTTACCTGCAAGCCGTCAAAATGATAAGTGAATAAAACCTTGTAGATTATACATCTTCCTTTTATGATTATGTAACAAAGTCATACAGTTGTGTAATGGAGATAGCTGAAAAAAAATATGCCTTGCATTATGGCACCCTGGTCTATGATTCCACGAATATCAACTAGGTGAAGATGAGATCTCATTAACAATACAGTCAGCAGTAGATATCGATACATATGTTGTAAACCTGAAGGTTGTTTCAAGAAGTATGCAAAAAGTGAAAGTCTCATAAAGTACATACATATTTTTTAATTTCTATAAGCAATGTAATATGATGTCTTCTAGCCGTAAGGTACTAATGATAACGAGATGTGGGTGATGTATGGATTGAGGAGGCTAGTATATATCGATTGATTGTTGTATGTATTATATTTATTAAATTGCAGCAAGTAATCATGCTTATGCAATCTTCAAGAAAATAATTTAAATAATTTATTAAAATTTACAAATATATTAAAAAAATTGAACACGAAAATTTCATGTCTACTGAAAAAACATTCATATAATCTACAAAAAAATACAATTAAAAACAATCAATCTTGCTAGATTTTACATCATGACATGCTAGCACTGAATCTCTAAGTGTACTTATTATTCAATGTTCAAAGCAACAGATTCCATCATATAATAAAATTGTAAACTAAGTAATATGAAATTTTTTCAGATAGATAAAAATTTATTATCATAAAGTATACACACATATATTGAATAATTTAAAATAAAACAAATCTGGCTAAAACACCAAATTTTTGAAAATTGAATATAAAAAATTATAATTATAATTTTCAGTATTATACTATACAGAAATTTCTAGCTTTAATCTATAGCAATTTTTCTATCAAAAAAATTTCCATTCAATTTTAAAATTCATCTAATATTGGATTTGTGTAAGAAACCTTTAGTAGGTTTATTATAAATCTTCTAAAAATTTTAACAACATTTTGAGCACAATAATAAATAATTCATGATAATAAAAAAATGAAGATTTATTTTTATTCCATGATAATTTGTTGTACACTTTGGTATTTATGATAAAGATTAGGGTCATGCGCAATGTTTTGCAGGCTCCCAGGCAGCATTTTCTACAACTTTTTTTTCTAGAGAAGAAGTCTACTTTGTGGAAGAATGTGGGTTTTAGAAAGTGAGAGTGAAAAAAACCCGATGTGCTTTAAAGAAAAGCGAGAGCCAATTAAATCGGGGAATCAACATACACTTCTAAAGCGATAGGAGGGCTTAAAAAATGCATCGCATTATTAAAGCAAATGAAAAGTGCACACCCAAAACTTTAACATGGATGGATTTCAGTAATCCAAATCCCCCACAGAAACGGAGCATCAAGTGCGTACTTACTTACTCCCGGTGGACGCATCGGGTGCCATAATGAAAGTGAGCAGGCAAGGCCCTTCGATATCGTGTCGTGGACCTGCTACCACTGAACAGCGTAAACTTTATTTAGACGAGGGACTAAAGCAAGAATGGGCCACGAAGGGTCGCGACAGCGCATGCGATAAATTGATTTATTCGGGCCATGGGTGAGCTAGCGGAAGAACTGTGGCTGCTGCGGCGGATGGGGCTCATTGTCATTGTCCGTGTCCGTGGCGCTGGCGCAGTCGGAGTCGGCTCGGGGACAGTGCAGTCGAATCGGCGGATGCCGCTGGGACCTGCTCTGCTCTATATTTCATGCTCGACAGCGGAATCGGAGCTTTTGGTTGTAGGCCCTGCCGCTGCTCCGTACTGCTGCACATGGAGCCGGAGGGCGGATCGTAGGCAGCAGATCAGATCGACGAGTGCTTCCGATATCGGCGACGACGACGACGACGAGCGCTAGATTGCTCGTCCGCTCGCTCGCTCGCCTTCTCTTCCTCGACGACGACGATAGCCGCGCGCGCGAGCGAGCTTTGGTGCGATGGAGACCGGTGGGCCGTAGGAGGCTGTGTTTCTCTTCTCTCGAGCTGAAGCGGAGGCTGGTGGAGGAGGAGGAGGAGGAGAAGAAGAAGAAGGTTGTGGTGGTGCGAGTGGTTCTCATTTGGCAATTGGGCGAGGAGGAGGAGGATTTAGGAGGAGGAGGAGGAGGGGAGGAGAAGCTTGAACAGGGTGCGCCGTACATGGAGGTGGGAGCTGCCGATGGGTCGGCTTCTTCTGCTTCATCATCATCTTCTTCTTCTTCGTCGTCTTCGTCTTCGGCTTCGTCTTCGTCTTCGGCTTCGTCTTCGTTTGCTTCTTTTGTCACGTCCTGCCCGGAATTGTGTTCTGTAATGCAGAAATCGAAATGCTCTGGCTCCGCATCCTCCTGCTCCTCGTCCCGCGGGTGGAAGTATGTGTCGCTGGGACTTGTTCTTCTTTCGTGCTCCTCGTTGCTGGTCGCGACTTCTCATCGGCACGAGTCCGGATTTCGAGTTGCGTCGTCTTTGGATACCTCGTTTGCCTCTCTTGCCAACCTCTGGTCTGTCTTGTGGCGCTCTGAAAGTGAGATTCCTGTGAGAATTCTCGATCGAAGGCAACTGGGCCAAGTGGAGGACGGTAGTGCGGCGTCGATCAACAATGTGGGGCATGGGGCTGGTGGAGAGAAGGAATTCGATGTGGGTTTCGACAAGGGTGAGTCCAAGGTGACCTCTGAGAGTGCGGAATATGAGAGTGTAACGTCGATCCGGAATGTAGGCGATGGCGACCACGCTCGGGGGATGAGCGCTGGAGATGGTGGTATTGAGAAGGAGAGAGTTGAGGGGGCAGATGGAGCCGAGCACAATAGGTCCAGTGAAACCGACCTCAAGGCCGTCGAGCACACGGCAACCACGGGAGTGGAGAAGCTCCTGAATAGACTGGAGGAGGATGTAGTTCAGGATGAAGATGGGCGATTCAACAAGACAATATCCGCCCAAGAAGGTGTACTCGAAACTGTTGCTCGAGTGGGTGGACACTCGTTTGATGAAGAGGATGAGTCCAACGAGTCTGGCTCCGATACCTCGACACTGGAAAGCGAACAGGACAAAGGGTTGGAATCGGTCAAAGTTCAAAATACTGCTCAGGAAGATGTGGGGAACTTTACGGACACGAGGGCGAAAGATCTTGCTGGAACTGAGTCGACTTGGCTGGACATGTTCACGCGAGAGTCGGAACAGCCTCGCAATGTGGAAGCACCACCGGAGGCAAAAAACGCCTCGGTTACACAACAGCAGAAGAAAAATGCCACTCGGATCAGGCCTTTTGAAGAGAATGCAGGGTATCACCAAGTAGAGGATGTGCCCAGGTTAATAGATCGGGAAGATAACGAGTACGTGATCAGCAATCCAGGGAAAAACCGGATGAAGCTTCAAGAAGATCTCACGTTGATCTCCGACATCATTGTAGTCATCGTTGCCGCTGCTTTTGGAGGAACGATTTGTGGCTTGCTGGGGCAACCTGTCATACTCGGCTACCTGGCCGCTGGAATGGTTGTTGGACCAGGTGGCCTTCACCTTGTTCACGAACTGGTGCAGGTTAGTGCTGCCATTTTGTTTCTAATCTGGAAACGCTGCATCTCGTGGTCAAGCCAGCCAGTCACTCCAGCCATTTTGCTTCGAAGCGATGGCAGTAGCCGTCTGTGTGCCTTGCAAGTCTACATCGTTGTTGTGGAGAGTGAATTAGATGCAGGCTGTTTGCCGAAAACAGCGAAAACACAATTCATATTTTAATCTGTATTGTTCAATTGCTGTTAATTTCAGGTCGAGACTTTGGCTCAGTTCGGGGTCGTCTTTTTACTCTTTGTTTTGGGAGTGGAGTTCAATCCCGGCAAGATGCAGGGCGTGCACGGTGTGGCGCTGGGAGGTGGGTGCCTCCAGATCGGCGCTGCAATGCTCTTAGGAGGGCTACTAGGCTCGTCAGTACCTCAAGGTGTTTTCATCGGTGAGTACGCGTCTTTCCATGGTCCTAGAATGGGCCGATGAAGCCATCCAGTGCTGTTCGTTCTGCTAGGCCCCAGAACTCTCGGCAGGGTCGTGCACGTTTGCCTCCGTCAGGAAATTGAGGTGTTTGTACTGTTGTAAATCAGAATCGAGTGTTTGCTTAGCTTGACTGGTATTTGTATTTGAGGTGCAGATGATGTGGTGTGCATCATATGCATGCAGGGGCGTTTCTGTCCATGTCCTCGACCGCAGTCGTTGTCAAGTGCTTGATGGACTCTAAGATGGGAAGCACAGAACATGGGCAGGTGTGTAAATTCTACTTACTTGATTTATATTTGTCTTCTAGGAATTTTTTTATTTCGGACCATCTCGACCGTCCGACCTTCATAATTAGGTCACTGTCACTCGTCAGTTGTCATTGGAGGCGATAATTTTCAGAGAACGATTTTTAAGTTATTGCCGTGCAATCACGTGGACTTTGCTCACAACTAGTGGTCCCAAATATTACTGTTTCCCTGCAGATCATGCTGGGAACTCTGATCCTTCAAGATTGTGCTCTCGGACTTCTTCTGGCGATTATGCCGGCTCTTGCTGCCAAAGGCAGTGGTATAATCACTTTCGCTGTTGCTCTTTCAAGAGAGGGAATGTTGCTGCTGGCGTTCTGTGCTGGCGCATGGGTCGTTGCAAAATACTTCATTCCTCGCTTTTTGCGGTCTCTTGTGCAGCTAACGAAGTTCAATACAGAACTTTATCTCATAGGGGTTATCGGAGTCTGTCTTCTTCTAGCACTGATAAGCCAGAGCTTGGGCCTCAGTCTAGAAGTGGGAGCGTTCGTCGGAGGACTGGTTTTATCAGGTCCTCTCTCTGCTTTTCTGAAAGTAGTGAATTTCATTTATACGATTTTTGTATCTTATCAACTTCTGCTGTCAGTTATTTCGTTGAGCAACAGATGGCTACCGAACTGACAAATCCAGATCTTCTTGCTGTTGCAGGAGGAATACATACTGAGAGAACCCTACATCAGGTCGAGCCGATCCGGAACATATTTGCTGCTCTATTCTTAGCATCCATCGGGATGGTCATGCATCCGATCTTTTTGTGGCAACATAAAGATATTCTTCTTGCGTCTCTGGCCGTTGTCTTCTTCGGAAAAACTTGTCTATTCGCCGGCGTGGTATGTTGGCCTTGCTGACTCTGTAGTTGAAGAAAATAACATTCACAAGTATGTAAAGAGTCTGACAAAACGCGTCCTCGACTTTGTTTTGAGGGTCAAATGCTCGAAACTAGCAATATTCTTTCATTGCTTCAGTGTCTTTCCGAAGCGTGAGGCAGTAGTTTTCCGTGACGTTCGTTGGTTATATAGGTGCTGATGCTTCTTTTGATTGCAGGTTCGAGTTTTTGGATATGGTGGGAAGACCTCCTTGAGTGTAGGCATTGCTTTGGCACAAATCGGAGAGTTTGCGTTCATCCTCTTGAGCCGAGCTCAAGGCTTGGGTTTGGTTTCCAAGAAGCTATATCTGTTGCTAATGGGTACGAGTGCTCTTAGTTTAGTCCTCACGCCGTTCGCCTTCAAGATTGTGATTCGATTGATGTCAGCTGGACAACCAGCCTTCCGCAAAGGAGCGTTAAAACCTGCACACAGCTTCGGTGTTCAGAGTTTGCAAGTTAATAAAGGGCATGTAGACCCCCCAGTGAGAGGGCAGGATATTGCTGAACCTCCCTTCTGGTCATTGACGAGTCCGAGTAGTGCTATTACTGAGATCAAGACCAAGGACAGTGATGAGCCTTTGCGCATTTTCAGCGAACCGGAACAGCTGGTGGAAATACGGGATATGGAGGATGGTCGGGGAGACTATACTTCATCACCTGCGGGACTGGTGCTGCGGAGACCGTTACACCACGTCGTCAATGGGAAGTGGACCGAATGGAAGAAGGAATTAGAAGAACATGAAGTAGATGACCATAGGAGATAGGGATATTATTTTTTCGGTGTACTTTCTATCGTAGTCATCTAGCTCCACATTATTATGCTTAGCAATCCTGACAAAATGGTGTTATTCACGCACCCCGGGACAGCTAGAGATTACTCAAAGGGGCACTTCAATTTTGAAATGTACATGATCCTTGAAATGTGAATATTAGACAGAAGGGTAACAGAGCCACTTAATTCACAACTTCATTGTTCGAGTTGCAACAATTTTGTACCGAATGTAAGCGGAGTACGTCCTGTTCTACTATGACCACTATGACTACAGTTTGTACTTTGAATGTGCTCTTGACTATCTAACATACGATTTTCCAATCGGTACCTACCAAGTTTCTGTTATCCTGTTTCCTCATTTCTCATTCCGCTTGTGTCCACAAAGACATGCGCCAGGAAGATCTCGATGAGCTTCGTTCTTCGAGAATAGAATCTGATCTATACGTGGATAACATCGTCATGCAGAATGCGGCTCACGGGTCCAATGTTGCGCGGAAATGGAAAGAGTGAAGTGTTTTAAATCCAGAGAAGTATAAGTATCGGGATGGGAAAGTGAGTTTCTCGGTTTCGTTTTGATATAGCCTGATTTAATCAACAGAGGTTTTTATACCGTAGTCCTTTGTTGCGTCTAACTCGACCAGGAACGGGATTCGTTTGGGGATAACTGATGAAAATTTAGCTAGTCGATGTAAATTGAGCACCAAAGCTGCGCCCGGGAGAAAATTAAGTGTGGCAACTCTTTCTCCTTCTCCAGTATTATCTAAGCGGTCGAAGCCGTCGGCCAGTGATTAAATTTTTTATCTGGGACTTGAATGTAGTTCCGAGTTATTAGCGGGTCCACACGAGGGGCAATAGCCCTCTCGTTTCCTGAACCTAAAATTGTGGGCGAAGATTTTCTTGGCCTTATGGGCCTTTGGTTTGTATTTCTCTGGAATACTTAGCCATCGATCGGTCTTTTAGTCCTCGCCACTTCTTTTGCCAAAATCCCCTCGTTAAAACTGTGTGGGTAGTAATTTTTTGTTCATTACTATCCTATGCAAAGATTACTCCGTCGCACAGTATGTTTATTCGTAGAATTAAACCACTATAAGCAAGGCAGGCTGTTATCTGATTGCATCCTGACTGAAGACTGTTACGAACAACATTATCTTTCAGCACCAAAGCATGACGCGTAGATAACAAATTTGTAATCGTCATTTTGAAGATGGTCAACCGTGAGAGGTCATCTGTACAGCTCAGTTATGGCGCAATTCACGATTGCCTTCGTCATTCCCTAAATAGCCATGTAGTAAATACTAGGGTAGACATCCAGTTGAGTCCATACCGGATTCAACAACGGAAGACGGCACAAGATTGTGGCCGTTATAATGAATCTTGGTTATAATATAAATGCCTTCCAATGGGAGGAGATCCAATACACAATACCACTGCTCAAAAATTCGAAATCCATATCCAATGTCAAAAACATAAGTATAGAAATCCTGAAATACTGTAAATATCCTAGCCAGAAGATTTATTCAGTCATTCATTATTCAAGTTTAATACATCTGATTTACTAAATGAAATTTTTTAAGCAAGACTCTAGTTCAATCATGTGATCTTTTGGCTACGCTGTCCATGTATGCTTCACTGCACACAATCGTTTGGTTCGTTTGTTAATTTTGATAAATATTCTTTGCATATAATTGTGCTCGGTAAAAATTTGAAATATGATTTTCATCTAGATCTAACTGCAAATACCACCTACCTTAAGTTTTATCAAAAAGTCATAACTCACATTGTTATTATATGCATGGAGATTCCACAATTATTATTGTATCATGGTAGAAAAAATCTCACTTTGTATAGAGTGAGATAATGCATTATTGAACTCATATTCAATACATAAATATAGTGATACGATACACATGTGTTCAGTTAATACCATATTAGTAATCCTTTTAACTAACGTAGCAGTCATGTCATAAATCTAGATTTAATATGTATGTATTCTTATACCCCTCTCTCAACAAATTTCTTTAGTGGAGATTTGTTGTATAGAGAGACTACAAAATATCATCTTTTTCAATAATCTAATCTCATCAAATTTATAAAGTAATTTTAACAAGTTATTGGATTCCGTAGTCTATAAATTTTCACATCATTAGCATATTTATAAAAATGGCATTTTTTGGACAGAATATCCATTTTGATCTTATTTTTCTTAAATATAAGATAATAAATTGTACAACCAAAAATTCTCAAACAATTATGATCATCCATCCGTTTTTGAATCAGTTCAAATAGTGTAAAAAACTTGATTGCATTAGAAGTGCATATCAAATATAATATCTTATTGACAGCTTGAGCCAAAATTCATCTGGTAAACGAGATTGTCTCAACATTTTGCACAATTTTTCCAACACTTTTAGATTGAAACTCTCAAATATTGAGGTTTGATTGTGAAGTATAAACTTGTTGAGAGAACAAGTAATCTCCTTTTGTTTGTAGTAATAACAACATCTTTTATAAATATTTAATTTATTATGTAAATATCTCACCGTATGTCCAATTTTTGTCTAAACTTGAACATAATAATATAATAATAAATTAATAATTATAATTAATTTATAATTATTTACATATAAATTTATTATTATTATTATGTAAATATCTCACCGTATGTCCAATTTTTTTCTAAACTTGAACTTTTCAAATTTGAAGAGTTCTTGATTTTTGTATGAAAATGTAAATCAACATTTTCCTTAAGTAATCATCAATAAAAGATCTATCTTTTTCAAAGAATGAGACTTTTGAAACGTATCTTCATATATCATTATGTACATTGGAATTTTGGTTCTAACACAATAAACTTGCTTATGATGTTTGACCATAACACAATGTTCACAAAACTCTAAATCAACTTTGACTATGCCATTAATAAACTCCTATCAACAAGTAGTGTCATGTATCTATTGTTTATGTACTAGCCAAGAACGCTATACATCATCAATTCAAACTCAAAATATAACAAAGTTGACTTTATCACAAATATTAATGCACTCTAGCATGTACACATTTCTTTGTTTGTGATCCATAAAATAATTTTACCTCCTATTTTCATTTCATTTCATCCTAGAGTTTCACTCAATATTTTGAATCTAGCCTTCAAAAAGAAATGAAATTTTTTTCTCAAGTATAAATTCATCTTGACTTAATGTACGTTAGAATCTTTCAAACATTTGAAACCTTAACCAATAATGCAATATCTTCAATACTACAAGATGTATCATTTTTCATAACTGAACCACTTAATATTAAAGTAGTAATAAAAAATTCTCTAATGTTACAAATATGAAAAAGAAGTATTGTCTATTATTTATAAATTATCAACATTTCTTGACTAGTTGTAGAATACATATCTCTAGCATCATCAATGATTTTTTAGTAAGTTACACTTCTTAATATCAAACTCTTGAATCACATTGATTAAAGTAAAATCAACATATTTGATCTTCATTCGAGAGTGCTTTTTGACGTGTCCACTCTTGTCACAAGTCTAACAAATATTCATTTTACTTTCTAAAAATTTGATCATATACTTGGATCTATCATTAGATCCAAAACGCTTGTCATCTTCTTTATTATGTGAATATGACAGACCTCAAATCACATTAAGTATCTTATAAAAAAATCACACCATCATTTTTTATGTAAATCATCAATCAACACACTTGATAGTGATTGATTGTAGTCAAATAATAAACTCAAAAAAATGAAAAAAAAAAATTCTTTTATCAATTATTTTTTTTTCAGGATTCAAAAACAATGACAAGATCACCAAATGCATACATTTGATCTTGGATCTTTATGTCAGAGACTTTCATCTTGAGATTCATCAGCCTCAAGATGCATACAACATGTTTAACAATTGTGTGCAATGAAACTGTCATTCAAGAATCTTAAACAACAATGTAATTTTGTCACATTCATCCACTTGCTTCATAGTTTAATATTATAAATGCAATATTACGATACTCATAGCTTGCATTTTGAGCTCAATGAAGTCGTCGTTATTAGATGTGGACAATTTTGGCCTCAACATCTTGCATAAATCCATATTTTTGTTAAAGTTAACTCTGGTTAAGGAGTTAATTGAGGTTAATCGCATATGTAGCTATTTATAGCATAAAATGGTTGACTACCTTGAGTATATATACCCTAAGGGTGGTAAAATATTTCTCACTTTAAGCAGTATACTCTCCGTGTTCCTATTGTATTCCTCCGTGGATGTAGACCTTGAGGATGAAGCATGTTTTACGTGTGTCTATTGTGTTTATCGTGTTGTTGGTTTGCTCAGTTGATATTTACCGTAAGAATTGGTATCAGAGCGGTTCCGGTTTGGTGTCTGTGTATCTATTGTGTTTATCGTGTTGTTGGTTTGCTCAGTTGATATTTACTGTAAGAATTGATATCAGAGTAGTTCCGGTTTGGTGTCTATGTCACAGTGTTTTTGTGACGGTTTTCTAACAAGTGACGTTCTTTATGTGACAATATTTGACGGTTTTCTGCAAAGTGTAGGGTTTTCACTGCAGACTGAGCTTTTTCTTGTCGTTGACAGGTTCCTTGACGATCAAGGAGAGAGTGTTCGATTCGAGCTCGTCTGTGTAGGTTAGAGAGCTGACTGAGAATCTTTAACATGAGTTAAGGGTGAGATCGTTAAGTTACCTCTGTATGTTATTACTCCATTTTGTTATGGGAATACAATAACTTCCTTCTTAAGTACACATCCGTTTAAGTATGCATCCCGGCTAAGTACGCATATTTTTCCCAAAAAGTTTGGGTTCAACATTTATTGGGCAAACATGTCACGAATTGTCATCTAGCGCAGGTTTTGAAGTTTCCTCTTCTTAACATTGACACAGACGGCATGTTGCTTACTCTAAAATGCTTCAAATGATTTCTTCATATCATCAAATGCTTCATTAGCTTTGATTTGAACATCAGGGCATAGAAGCTGATCCTCGATGTCAAGAACCTGCTTATAGAGTAATTCAAACCCTTGGAACTAGATGCCGATTTGTGTTTCAACATTCTGTTCAAGCGGATTAACTTCATCATCGTCATTATTTTCCGCGGGTTCAGCAACTTTTATTGTTTCTAGAAGCTCTTCCACATCCTCCAAAACCGCAGCCGCAAATGCTTCGCTGTTCTCATCGTCAGCATGAACGAAGTCATCGATTTCAAGCGACTCAATGATCAAATTCAATGCTTCAAAAGCCTCCATGATTTTAGCATCGAGGTCTCCGTCATTGCATTCGTTCTCGGCTTTAAATTGTTTTGGCATGAGTTCAGCCTTTTCAAAAGCATTTTTGATCGAAGCTTGAGAAACAGAATCCCAGGCTTCTTTTACGTAATTTGCAGCATCTAAAAGTTGTGTTGCATTCCCATAAAGTACCCCAGCAGATCCTCGCCGAAGTCTTCGACCTTGATCTTTTTTACGAGCTTTCACGTCGTCGTCAAGTTGGTAAAAGTCGAGAACGTCCTTGAGATACAAATACTTATAGCGTTTCTTCAGAGCTGCGATAATTCCCATATCGCAAGGTTGCTTCCAGCTTGTATAATTTGGGGGAAAGAACATTACGCGAATGTTGTCACGTTCGAAGCTTTGGAAATGGCCCGGAGCATTATCCATCAGCAAAAGAACTCTCCGCCATGTTCGCTTCTTCACTTCTAGGAAAAACACTTCATTGAACCACTTCCAACCGTTTTCTACGTCCATCCAACCTTTTGTCTGATTAAAGTAAGGTACTGGCCACTGCCGATCCTTAATGCAAACTGGTTCTTTCGGTTTTCCGATTAATGAGCATGGAACTTTGTGTGACCCTGTTGTGTCGGCACAAACGATAAGCGAAACTCGATCTTTTGATTTCTTTTTGCCCCTTGTCGTAGAGATATAATCGCCCGGCATAAGAAGACTAAATCTTGGAAGCAATCGAAAAAAAGGACCTGTTTCGTCCATGTTGAAGATATTCTCAGAGTCGTATTAAGCTATAATCTCGTACAGTTCTTCCAAAGCTACTAACAACTCCGGGTCGTTCTTGTTGACTTCTGCGCCTTCTCCATGAAGAAGCATTTTTTCAAACCGCGCCTTACTCTGAAACGGCTTAACCATTGCCAAGAAGCCTTAAAGTCAGATTCTGGAATTGACAAATCCGATGCAATGCTTTTCGCTTTGGCCATGGCAAGGGATGGAGGTACATGGAGACTGGCTCGACGCATGCTATGAATTCAGCAATAGAGCATATCTTGAAGCTCCGTGAATCGTCCAAATAAAGCTCAAAACGTCTCCTCTTTAGCTTCTTCCGTTAAAAGAGCATATCGGGCCATGATCGCCTCACGGTTCTCCCAAACCTTTCTGATGGCGCCTTCACTAACACCATATTCTCTTGCTAAGGTTCTCTTACAGAGAGAAGACGTCTTGCTCAGCTTCGAGATAATCTCGCAGCGTTGCGACTCATTGAGACGCTTTCCATTCGAGTTCTTCGACATGAGAGACAAATGCAAGCTGATTTTTGGAAGTGCACAGTCTAAAGTACGCACCTACCGGCTAAGTACGCACAAAGCGTTCAGGTTCAAGTTGCGTACTTAAGCGGGAGGCTATTGTAATAATATAGGTAAGAGAGGTGACTTATACACCTTAACACGGGTTAAGATGAGATTGTTGAGTTACCTCTGTATATTATTATTCTATACTGTTATGGCTACTGCTTAGTTCTAGTTAACTCTCGTTTAAAGAGTGGCCTTGAATCAGGATTCTGTCTAGAACTTCTCACTTAGTAATAATGTAGGTTAGAGAGGTTACTGAGACTCCTTAACGCGAGTTAAAGGGGAGATTGTTGAGGTTAACTCCGGTTAAGGAGTTAACCGAAGTTAACCGCATATGTAGTTATTTATAGCATAGAATGGTTGACTACCTTGGGCATATATACCCCAAGGGTGATAAGAAGTTTCTCACTTCAAGCATTAAACTCTCTCAAGTGTATCCCCGTGAGGATGAACCACGTTATACATATGTCTTATGTGTTTATCGTGTTGTTGATTTGTTCAGTCTGAAGTTTACCGTAAGAATTTTTAGCTTGCACTACACTTATCTCTTTCAAAGAAAATAATCATCATCTTCATTGTACTTCATCATTTCATATCACTCTCTACCATATCTATCATATCTCCCATCTCATTGTCAAACACTTGAACTTGCCCTTTGTGTGACTTGAAGAAAAATGTGTGTTTTTTTATTCATGTGTAGTTGACTTCAACGTTGATTTTGAAGTAGACCGAATCAAGTCTTGGAGCTAAAAAAATTTTCTATGCATAGATCAAACAGGGTTTAATTAATTTGAGCTTACTCAAAATTTGAATTTTTTTCAACAAAATTTGATTTTCATCTATTACAGGATTTATATTTGATTTTTAATTTGATATATTTAACCAATAAGTAATAAAATTAAACATTCTAAACATCATTAAGAAGAATTAACTTTAATTTAGATTTAAAATTTGATTTCATGATGTAGAGTATATATATTATTTTGATCTTAAATGCCAACATATATTATTAATTCAATTTTTATATTACAATTAATAGTATACAATATTTAACAACTCAAAACTTGAGAGTCAAAACCAAATTATACATAAATTTATAAATTTAGATCACATCAATTGGTATTGTATGCTTCTTATCTTTAATGAATAAATAATAATAAAATTATAATCTCACATAAGTATTAGATTTATATTCATGCAGGTTGATTTGAAAAATAAAACTTCAAGAAGTTTTCTCTTACTATCATGAAAAATATAATTTTTATGTAATATTTCATCATTTAAAACATAATTTACATGCAAATGACATGATAGTCATTTTGAAATGTGAATGCAAAGAAGATACATATGCTGAAAATTTCTCATATTAGTAATTACATTATATATCTTATTTATAGAAATGATTTTGAACCTAATTTATATTCCAAGGAAACTTAAATAAATAAAATAAATAGATGTATTTTCATAAAACAAATAAAATTGAATCAAATAAAGTTAACTAATATTAGTGTTTGATCCCAATAATTGTGTTTCATTTTATTTTATCTTCACTACAACATCATTATGACAGAATATTATATCATATTTAATGAATTATAATCTATATACAATACAGATCACAAAATTCCAAGCAATAAGATGATGAAAGATCTTGTGACAAAAAGTTTTTAAATGTTGCAAAATTTTTCTAAATTAATATCCAAAGATAATCATTTTAGATTAGAAAAACAGTAAAACAAAAAATTGTAGCTGAGTCATTTGAAATCGTCAACTGCGTGAAAAATAGTGATCATTGTTTTATGTCACAATTTTACACAAAATTTTTGAATTCTTCTTTATGTTGGCACATCATCTATGTCAACGATAATAATCTTAGCACATTCTAACTTTATTATATATCATAAACAACATGGCATATGGAACGCCTTATACACATGTTGATTAGCTAACTAGCTTTACAAGCATATGAAGAAGAACGATATTAATCTGATGAGTTGTTGGGTTGGGCGAATATGAACCTGTCAAGGATTTTATAAAATGTATCTGCTGGTTTCTCATGTCAAACTCATCAGTAATAATTGTCGAGCAATAGTAACAAAGTTTGTGTAGGCTAGCATATCTAGATAGTAAATTACATATCTTCAACTATTTGAATTGTTATCAAGAACTTAAATATGAGCATCTTTATCACACAAGATTATAAGCAAAAAAGAATGTTGGATTCACTTGTGATTGATGAATTCTCATTTTAGATCAGACAGTATGTATTCAAATGTATAGTTAGTTCACTTGGCCAAAGGTGGTGTTGTGGAACAGAAACCAAGTGGAAGCCAATCATATGTACGTATGAATATTTATTTATTCTATCTAAGTCACAGGAGAGAGATATCTCTCTTCTTCGGCAGTCTCTATGGTCATGAGCTGGCTTTGTTTCCAGTCTTTCTGAACATCATTGACGCTATCAGTGTTTTACAGGAGAAGTTGTACACCATATTCAAACGTACGAGGCAATTACCAAATATCGTCATTTGACCTACCGCCCTCTCTATGCAGCCTGTTTTCTGGTCCTAGCACAAATTGCTTCCTCAATCTTCTGAGGCTTTCTCCTCTAACGGACTGATGGGTGCGTGCATCATGTTTACATTATTTCGTGGACACGAGTTATTATAATCAAAGTGATGGGCAAAGTGTTACGAGACCAGAATTGGTAATGACTGGCTGGATCCCATTGACTTCAAAGCAGTCTGAATACAATGCAGATATGGTGAAGAAGCTGGCAGACGAAATTGGAAGATCAGACAGTGAATTGGTTCATTACATCCTCAATGAGAATGAATAAATATGTACCTCGTCGTAAGAGGTAAAGCTACGATAAAGTTGTGCTTTACGCGTTCGAGTTGCCTGAGTTACCGGTAGCAAGTTTCCAGCCTGGGGATAGTGTATATTAATTGGCTTTTCACACTGCCTACGCAACCATCTCTCCACAAAAGACATTTGCTATGAAAAGAAGAGACACCTTCTGCTGGCATACTCTCAATTTCTTCTCGACATTACTGGGAAAAGGCCAAAATTGGTTCGCAAGAAAAGTCGGGCACCCTACTTCACCAATATTGACTCAATTTTGCATTCCCGGCTCAGAACTGAACATCCTCGAATTTGTTAGTAGTACGAACTTGAGAATTTATGTGCAATATGTGAGTATGGCGGGGACTATGGGGGAAAATTAGATAAGGGTAGCCCCTTCGCGTTTCATTTAGACCTCCGTTAGTTCCAATTTCCATGGTTATGCGTGCTGGCATTTCTGGATATAACAGCGTTCAGAACAAAAATTTTCAATCGAGTGTTTCTTCCTGCCAGTTTCTTCACCATATTTGCATTGTATTCACACTCCTTTGAAGTCGATGGGATCCAAACAGTCATTACCAATTCTGGTCGCTTTAAAACATTGATTAACAGCAAGAGAGAACAAAGGTTTGAATCCTCAATTGTAGATACTTCTGTAGGCTAACAAAGCAGGCGAAAGAAAGGAAACAGAGTAGGGAGTGTTGATCTGCTTGCAGACAGCAGACATTTCAAGCGTGAGGTTCTTGACAGAGCCGGAGCACAACAGGAAATCCCAAAACTTCATCGAGGAAGCTGTCGATCATTTAACTGCACATAAAGGGCTTGCATAAAATCATTCATTACACTTTACAGGAATGTTCACATCCCCTGAGACAAGTGAATCTTGCTCAAATGAGGACTTTTCTAAACAAACGGGAGCAATGTCAGTCCCCCAGGTGACTTGCACCTCCGCTTGGGCTAGGCAGCTCAGCTTCTAGCGTGATTACATCTATACTGAGCGGACTTCCACCCAAGCAACAATAAGCTCTACCGCGACTTCAGATCAATTGATTATAGACATGAAAAGAATGAGAATATCCAGGATGGGAATATTCTTGTGGGCTGTTGCGGCTTTGTTCGTGAAAGTGAACACCATTTCACCCAGAGCCTTGAATCGTCTCCAAGTAGTGTAAATCATCAAAAATTTGCAATTGATCATTCTGTACTGGGATTCAGCTCCAGAGGACAGTCTTGAGAAGGCCCCTCCGCTGCGGGAAAGGCTAATCTGCTCGACTGCCCTTTCTTCCTTCCGGCAGAACTGACTGGCGCACGCGGCGGATCACTTAATTGTTCATGCTGGAGTATCCGACGTTGAATGACTTTTGAGAGGCAAACGCCTAAATAGCAAGCCTTCTCGTGGGTGCTTTCGTCGGACACATATAGAAGCTAGATCGAGGGTAAGCACAGCAAAATGTCAGGCACGACTTCCAGTAGAGACGAATTGCTGCGCTGCGGAACAGGCTAATTAATGTAGCATATCAGGAACCATTGGCTGGGAATAGGGAGAGTGATGACCAGATGACATGCTTCCGAAAGGGACAGGATCCAAATGGCCAGTTTGAAGACCAAGAGCGCGCAATCCTCCAGGATGTTGGGATGCAGTGTGGTGCAGTCGCTGCAACTGTCTGGACAGATCCATCGCATGCGACCTGAGCCTTTGGTTCTCATCTGTGAGAGTTACGTAACGTTGAGAAGCAATAGAATACTTGGTCATCATGTGATTGTTCTCGGCCCTCAGGTGCGCAACCTGGGCTCGCAACTCATCGAGATGCTGCTGCTTCCTCAGGCGTGATCTCCGTGCAGACTCCCTATTCGACAGCATGCGCTTTTGCTTCCGTTCGTCGACTCCGCCTGCGTGCTGATCGTCGTCGGAGGTGGAATTTGACGGTGGCAGAGGATCGGGAGCGTCTCCCGAGCTCGCCTTCCCCGTCGTGCCTTTTGATTCCCTCTTGGCCCCAAAAGGATAATGATCAGCTTCGGGAGCAATAATAGAGGGTTTGACATCCCCGGCGTCTGGTTCCGAAGAGTAAGACGACGAACTTCCTTCCAACTGTCTGTCTCTTCCAGTCCGCTTTACTCCATCCGGTTGGTTCTTGCCGGACTGCTGTACTCTGGACTCTGCCACCACTCTTTGCGAGTCCCTGTCTGCAAGAGAATAATTTCCGAGGGCACGTGGTAAGTGCGAATCAAACCCCAACCCTGTACGAGATAGCTCGCAGCCTACCAAAGACAGGTGGCTACGACCTCCAAGAAGGCAATCTGTCCAATTTAGCGTGCGGAAGACAAATCCCATGGAAGGAATTAAAGCCAGTAACGAATAAAATCATACCGGCTCTTGAGCATTTTCATCTGGCGAGTGGAAAGAAGTTCTAACAGCCAGAGTCTAATATGGAAACAGAGAAGAACCACATACCATTCGCAATACTGCCAGCCGACGAATGGCTAAGAGGTGGAGGAGACGAAGTTCCATTCGTACTTCTTTCCTTACACTCTGCGTTGACTGCAACAGAAGAAACAGACGAAGATGCCCCGCCTTCAGCAATTCTCGAAGCGTGAGGAACGGGGGCCTGAGGAGCTGGAGCCTTGGCAGAAGATGAAGCAGCAGCTGAAGACGCACTCGGATATGGTGCTGGAGGGTCATTAGACCGAGGAGTACAGGACGACTGAACATTTAGTTGCCACAAAGGTGCGAAGAGGTCGTCCACGGACGTGGCGCGCCGCATGGTATTGGACATCATAGCTTCCCCTTTCTTGTTGTTACTATTGACCCCGTCCGTCTCATCTCCTTCTCCGCTCACTTGCTCCATGGCACCCATCCTGCCTGCTTTCTCGATCTTGAGCTTCTCTGCCTCCCTCCGCGTACCTAAACTCTCCACCATGCGAGAAACTGAGACCTCCTGACACTCACTGCGACGACTCACTCCTCTTCACAATATGTACAAAGCTTCTAACTTCAGACTTCCAACATCACATCATTCTCTCGTGTTCACCGCTTCGACAAACGCACACTATACACCGAGTCTTCTCAAGATCTCACGAACTCCACTGTCTACCGCTCCACTTCACCCCGACGTGGTCAAATTTCTTCCACCACCTCCCTCACCTCGAGGACTATCTCGAAATCAGGCAATCGACAAGAGCGGACTTCGTGTGGCCCTCTCTCATCTATCGAGAGAAACGCTAGCAGACTCGGCGCAGCAGGCAGTCGGAATCACAGACGACGACGAGAGAAAGAAGAGAGAGAGAGGGAGAGAAATCGAGAGCAATTGGGTCGTCGACGATCTCGGAAGGCGAGATGCTTTCTTTGCTTGGGTGCGGGAGCGCTGCAAAAACGCGACGGAGAAGTGAAAGAAATTGCGAGGGACGCGAGAGTACTTGAGGACGAGGCATCGCTCGCTCGCTCGCCGTGTGAACGAACGAGGAGGCGCTTTTCTGTTGGGCACCAGAGACGCGCGACTATTTTTGCGCGACCGGTTGACTGGATGGCATGGATATAGAACCGGATAAAATCTGACACCAGCTATTGTAGCCGCGCTGCCAATTCCACACAACCGTGTTGTCAGATTATCTCGTCCCGCGCCCGCCCGCGCCCGACCGTGCGATGCCCAGATCGACGGCCATTACAAAATGTCTGCGCGCAAAGTAGCGGGAACTCTGAAGTGAGCGCAACGGCGCTTCGTGGCCACTAGTTTGGAGGGAGCCGCCAGTTTTTCGGCCTCGCGCGACGGGCGCCGCGTGTTGCCGGAGAGAGGGCTTGTCCGAGCTGGATATTCGCGCTCCTGTAGGGGGGCTTTCCCAACGAACTTTCGGAGCTCGCCTGCGCGCGATACAGTGACACTCGGGCCACAGGAAGATTCTGGATATTGTGATCTGAAAGCTGGCGCCCTCCCTCCTCTTCGTAGACCTTGACTCTCTCTGTACGTACCGGCTCCATGTACGCGCCTGGCATTTTGAATTATTTCCGAGGTCCATGCACCCATCATGTCATGTCCATGTACCGCCCTTCCCGACCTTCGCCTCCCGGCCCGCCCGGTTGGCCCTCGCCGCCCTCGTCGCGCTACTTGCAGCCTCGTCGGATGCCAGCGGGCTGCCTTCGGTCACCTCTTCCTTGCACCGAAGACCGATCCTCCATGCTTTGACCTGCCGATCATCTCCGGCCGAAGATCGGAGTCGCAGTGTGAACTCGTGTTTTACGTTCGGGTTCGGGAATCATTCTCGGTCGTGTCGCATTGCCAGGTGGACGTGTTATGGCAACCTGTGCCATGTATGGATGCGGGGGACGTTACATCTCGGGAGCGGGCTTGCAATCTGCTAACGGAATCAAGCTTTTCCCGGTGCGAACATCAATCCATTGCGCTGCTGTACAGTTGCCGGAAAGCTATTAAACAAACAAATCCAAGGCACAGTACCGCACACAACGGTCAAACTCTGGATCATGATACATTGCCGCACATTTTTCATGAGCTTTTGGCAATCGGACTTCCATTCGTGTCGAAGCTATAGTACATTTGCTTCCGATCTTAGAATCTGGATCTGAGTATTCACACTATATTCAGGGCCTTTTTTATGTCACTCGTATGTTTCTCAAAAATCTGAAAGCCTATCACAATCATGTCAAGCTATAAATTGCTCCGCATAATTCGTCTCTGGTAAGATACAGTAGTTATTCTGTACATAAAAGTCAAATTCTAAAGAAGTCTTTTTTTTAGCAACAACTTTATCAATTAACTTCGCAAAGGAAACAGCTGGTATAATAGCAACAAAATTTGCATGCACTTTCAAGTCATATATAAATAAATCCAAGGGTACATTTTGAAGTTAGATATCACTAGTGTCAATATGATAAAGAGAGTACTTTATTGTACTTGAAAGAATTGCCATTTATAAAAAAACATCTCACATTGACATTATTTTACTTTGAGAAAACTTGAGCATTTCACTCTTGAAGACTAACTTGAATTTTTTGTGACGTTAAACTTCAGCAGTTTTTTACACTTGAATATATTGAGATCTTTCAAATATAAAACTAGAAATCTAAAAGTGATATCTCTCTTCAAACTTCAACCTAAGAAGTATTTTGAATCTATTATGCCATCACAACACCGTCTAAAATTTTATCTATATATATCTTTTGATCATGTTGTGTATCAAAGTACATTTTGTAGATATAAGTAAATTGTATCCATTACATATATCAACACGTATCCAATGAGTATAGTTACATGTGTTGACGATTAATTTTTCATAATCAAGATTTCAATCAAATTTTAATTATCTTGTCATAATATTTTATATTCTAAAATTGTGTGACAACATAATTTCTAAATATGAAAAAAAAATCAATGCAATTAAATTCATGAGTCATTATAATCTCACAATCCTATATTTTTTAAAAATCTTTTCTTTTATTTTATTTCCAATTTTTTTCCATTCATCTATCCTGAATATCCGGAAAATGGATTTTTTTAAATATTTATCATATATCATAAATCTTGCTTGAAAATTAATAATTTTTTGTTTTTTTGATTCATTTTTAATATATAAATCAAATCAAACATCTTATTTTTTAATGGAACTATCAAAACATCAAATATGCATATCTTGTATCAAAACCTTGTATATAAATTAGTAAAATCAGTTTTGATATTTAAAACTATTCTTGAGTTATATAACATTATTAAAAAATGAATGCCGAAAATTCGAAAATTTCAAAAATACCTAATTGGTTCAATCAATTTTATCAATAAAATGAAGAGTATTGTACTGATTCTTAGTAGGCACATCTAACTTGACTGTAATATTTAGCTTAAACCATTTAATAACAAAACATTAGAAAATGTAAAGAATTTTTTTAAATTCTGTTTTTTTAGTTAAAAGACATATTAATCGTATTTCAGAATGATCAAGATACAACTATTGAATGTTGATCGCAACTGAATAAATTAATAGCGAATTTAAATCTTCTGTCATATTTACGTACACATCTACTTCATATCAATTTCAATAAGGTAATCTTTCAGCTCCGAAGCAAGCATTGTGTGCATTAGACTCCAACTTCATAAATTATATTTATCATCTTAACAAAACACTAGTCTTTTCGTTATCTTCATTAAGCTTTTGTCATTTTTTATCAAAGCTTTTAAATAGATTAAGTGTTGATGCGTGACATCATCTTAGCTCGTCCAGGTGAAATAAGATAGTTTTGCTACTTAAACATGTTCAAAGGTGATGTATGTCATCATATCTTGATATGATAGTATAAAAATATGATTTTATGATTATTACATATTTCTTGAATCAACTAAAGTTTACTATTATTCCAAATAAATATACGTGTATTTTTATATATATTCAAGATAGAATATAATGAAAATATCATATATCATTCTTTCATGAATCATTTGATATAAAAAAATTTAAGAGTAAATTTACAATTAAAAAATAGGCATCCTTGGATTATTGTAGCTCAAAATTTTGATTAGTTCCAAAATTTACATAGTTTTTTTGCGAAGCATAATCATAATATTGTAACAAATTGCTTGAATTGAGCGAACATGTCTTGATTGACCAAAAAAAACTGGATTATGTAGTTTGACAAGCATTATGATATTTCTAGAGAAGAATGCAAGGTTCTTCAAAAAATAACTTATTATTATTGATGACAGATGAAAGAATTTTATTTATTATTTTAATTTATTTATTTAATTTATTATTATAAAATGTTATGAAGTAAAGGAGTGTTTTTCCAACAATAAAGAATTGAATGATGTTCACAAAATAAGAGGTAAGTGTGTAAAGCTAAATTTCGGACTTAAAAATCATAGAAGTTTATATCGAACATCTTGAATATCGATACTATGTTCCAAAAGCTCATGCACAAAACTGAATGCGCTCATGAGGACAAGTGGACAACAAAAAAAGTAGTGAAGGCCCCATAGATTTTTTGCTACATGAGACAAACTATTACAATGATCAACCCTCAATAGTAAAATATTTCATTCAGCACCTAACATATGTCATCCAACACTAAAATTGGAGAGATTTCAGGGCAGATCTGGAGGGTTTGTTCTATATCTCTTTTGAGGAATTCGGGTCGTATGATCTCTCCTCTAATTTTTAATTTTGCTACATGAGACAAACTATCACAATGATCAACCTCCATTAGTAAAATATTTCATTGAGCACATAACATATGTCATCCAACACTAAAATTGGAGAGATAACAGGGCAGATCTGGAGGGTTTGTTCTATATCCGTTTTGAGGAATTCGGGTCGTATGATCTCTCCTCTAGTTTTTAATTTTTTCTTTATCCGATGAGGTTCATATCAGGCATGTGTACAGTACTGCATGTTGGCTGGTCCCAGCCTAAACAATTCACAATGCCCACAGCAATCAAGTTCGAACGATCCAAGTTGGAGTGCATTGCTTTCTCACGGCAGAAAACTGTCATTGGCCCCATCTGATCCTCGAAGGAGCAGTAGCTCCTTCCCAAGAGTGAACCTTGCTTGCGCTCTGTTTGGTCTCAGAGTCTGAGGCCTAGTGGCCGCAAATAGCTGACAACTGTAAAGGACCCTCGAAACCACCTGGTGCATTGTAGCGGGAAGAAGTTAAGAGATTCAAATAAAATATTTCTGTCCACTGCACCTACACACCCTGTATCACACACAGGACAGTGTAGTTCTCAAATTATCCACTGCACTGTTGCAAATCTCTGTGCAGCAAAAGAATATTATATGCAATTTAATGAATAGATTTTATCTGGTACAGTATTCATACAGTTGACTGGAAATACGTTGTGTTTCTCACGTGATAATTATTCTCCGAAATCACAACTGACAAATGTCCAAGTGGTTGTCGTCTGAAGCAGGGAGGTTCATGGACTTTGCTCCGCAGTTATATATTTCTTCTCATATCTGCAGTCTCGGACTCTAGCAGAGTAGTTTTCTATTTTTACCGAGCCTCTCGTGGGCCCAAACAGTGGACCATAGCCGTCATGCAAACTTTACACCAAAAGATTAGACTTGTTTGTTTCACCCCCGTCACTGTAAAAGAACGATAGTTTGACAGTCCCGCGTCATGGTGTAATCAATGTGCAGATCGGTGAGATCCAGACAGACTGGAAGAAAAAGCTTGCATCTTGAGATCCTTGAGGCCGGCTTCACTTCTTTTGAGAAGACTTCTGGCTTCTGAATTGTAGATCATGATCTACAAAAGCTTGGAATATTGCTGGCCCACAATGCCAATGGAATTAAGGTCTCAGATGCAACTTCTTCCGAAAGTCATTTCGAACCCGGACTAGAAAACAAGACCTTAACAACAATAACAAGGAACCAGATTTTTTTGAGGCCTGCGGGAATGAAATCTGGAGTTGTTTGGACCCGCG